GCCTTGCAGCGTCCCAATCCCCCCAAAAAACTGCCATCTAGGGCTGCTGCTGCATGTAGTTAAAGAAATGATAACTAGATTTCAATGCAGTTGCTAGAGTTTTTAATACATATTTCCAAGCTTGACAAACTGCAGTGGACCAGCTAGCTATATTTATTTGCCCTTAAATCTACATTTGATTGAAAGCAACACGTTCATGCCCCCTCTTTCTGGGTTGTTGAAGGCCTTCTCGGAAACACAAGAAATTGGTAACCAAAGAAGTGCAAAGGTCAAGGCCAAGTGGATACGGCAGAACGGTAAATTTCAACACTTCATCAAAATAATGACTGCTGGACTGAGCGGAACGTGATAGATTGATGTAAGAGAATCTGAGGGGACACACTAGCCTGTCTGCAGGCTGAGAACAAAAGGTTGCAGTTTCCTGACTGTTGCCTTTATGATCTTTATCCACGTTTTTTGTGCGAGCGCTGGCTTAAACATGTAATCCATGCAGTCACTGCTTCACAATAAAAGACACCGTGTATTTCACCAGTTGAATGCTTTTAATGTGGAATATCAACTGTTGGAAATGTGAGGCTGATAAGGTAGGCAATTTGAAACTAGTGCGTGAATGGCGGAGTCCGCCACCAACAAGACAAAATACTATATCTAGAAAGGTAATTTCAGAATTACATTAAATTCCTATTGTAGGAGAAATGTCGATCATAAACTGTGTTGCACATTCCATTTGTGAAAATATAACATATAACCTGAAGTAATCCCATTACTAACTCAGAAAGATCAACAATGATATTTTTGGTATCATTGACAATCTCATCTGTGTTTTTCTTTTTGTCAGTCAAGGATTTGAACCACCCTCTACATCCTTTAATGACCAACTCATCAGATCAGATCAAAAGTCCTTTGTCCTGATGTTTTTTTATTTTTATTTAATATCCACCTTGTTGACAACTGAGAGCCGTAATACATGTTTATGAGTGGGTCTCTTGTAGTCAGGGACTGCCACTTTAGTACGAGTGAAGCTTGTAGTGAGAGTATCAGGTGTCTGGCTGACACACATCCTCATTTGGCTTCATCATTCAGTCATACTCACTCATGCCAATACACAGGGGATCGTTTGAAATGGGCTGAAGCATATTTTGTTCCATATTTATAAGGACAAACCAGTCTTTTGCTCCACCGGTTTTCCCTTTACTCCGGCATCGAAGACAGGTGTGTGAATGTATGACGCCGTCGCGGAGCATTGTTAGAAAACTGCATGCCTGTTGACCTTTCCTACATGAATAAAACATCCATACAAATGTCTTGACGCCGCTGCAGTCACCTAAGCCTTTAATGTCAGGTCTCTGCAGCCTCCCGGGGAAATCTGATAAAGCAGAAAGAGTGCAGATGGGTGGAATAATGCAGTGATTCAGCTGTGAACTTCATGCATGGCCAGTCCCCGCAGCGGCGGAGTCCCATCCCCATCCGCTGGGCTCTCTGCTCCTGGCTCTCGGCCTGTCTCGTCCCCTCGTTCCACCGCTTTCCTCCAGTGACTCATAGCTGCCGTTTAGCTCTGACCTCTAGTCCACCGCTGCTTTAGAGACGTGGAACTTGCCAGGAGGACTTTGGACTCTTTGGACTCCCTGGCAGCCACTGTATACTTCTAATAACTAACAGGGAACAAATTGATAAAAGTTCCCACAGTTGCATGATTAATACCAGGTCCAGTTGATCTTCTTTAGAGCTTTTTACCAGCGTTATGAGAAGCTAAAGATAATCTAAGAGTTAGAGCTTTCTCCTTGCATGGTACTCAGTTTGACTACTTTCCTATTAACGTTCTCTGTGCCTCTTCACTGACTCAACCTGCTCCGACACAGTGGTTGGCTTGGAGGTGTAATCCATCCCTTTAGAAAAAAGGAACTTGGCTAGCTCGCTCCTGTGAGTGCGGCTTGACTTAGTGTTTCAAAGACACTTTTACTTAACAGTCACATCAGGATGCATCGACCGACTCACCTCAATAAAGGGCGACTGTTGTCTAAGTCGGTCCATCTATATTTGTGTAGATGTTTCTAATGCATCTTAATGCATTTCCACTCTTTGATTATGCAGTGCTAATGCATAAAAGTACAATCAAAATCCATTTCAATCAGAGTTTCCCTATTTTAGACCAAAGAAATCTCCCAAATAAATTTTCCTTTTTCAAATGGAAATTCTGTTCTCGAAAGCTCTCTAAAATCACATTGAAACAACAGGTGATCCTTTGGTTTCTGTGTGTGTGTGTGTGTGTGTGTGTGTGTGTGTTGCGGTGGTTTGCCAAGGGCAAATTAGATTAAAATCCGTCACAGTGTGATGTTAATGAAGCCATTATTGACGCAACAACACCACAGTCAACTCCATTCTTCACTCTTTCCCCTTTCGCTGCACTTTCATTCATCTCTGTCATCAGTCTTCCCTCCTTTGTGCGAACGTGAATCATCAACTACACTGAATTTATAGATGGCAGTGTGAGTGAATGCTGGGAAACCAGGCTTTAAATAAGCTCCTAAATGTATTGTTGTGTTCTTCTATATCATTTTGTAGTCAAGTCCTTGTTTTCATACATTTTATTTTTGTGAAATGTTTCTTCTTTCTTTTTACTCTCTCTTCCCTCCTGTCTTCTTTCTTCAGTCCTTGTTGCCTTTCACCATCCATTAATATCACACAGACATAAAAGAGGATAGCGAGCTGAAGTGTCAGTCATAATTGTCCCTTTATGATATATTAGTCTAGTATTTGTCCTTCCGGTCAGTACAGAGGGGCACAATAGGACTCATGTGCCCTAGACTCAATTTCTCATTTCCGTTACTTACACATTACAATTTCTTACTTCCAAAATGTGTTTTCTGTTCAGGAAGCACTCTTAACTTCCCAAGGTGAACAATGACCCTCCATATCTATTAATCACCAAGACATGGGCCTCTGCTCAGACCTTTAAAGACCCATAGGTAGTCAGTTTTTAGCTCTCCATGCACATATATTTCACTTTTAGCGTCAGTCTCTTTAGGGAAAGAAGCAAAAGTGAGTTAAACAAGTGTGAAGCGCAGCCACTAAATCCCCCCCCCCCCCCCCCCCCCCTCCGGGTGGGTGCATCTGTGCATCTGTGTTGAATATTCGATGCAGAACATTTTACAGATGATACGTTTTCAACATGGATGCGCTACATTTCATGTCTTCAAGAGTTCAACAACACATAGTTTAGTGAAAATGAGGGATTTTTGAACATTTTAATCCCAGCTGTTGTAAACAATAGGATTACACTGTGTTCGTCCGTGCCGCATGGAAAGACCTAATGCAGTAGATATGGTGGTAATTGTCCATGACCTAAATCTGAGTCATCACGGGGCTTTCATCTCCTCACAGGATAGGCGTTTGTTATTTTTCTGTGCGCAGCGAAAGATCAATAGAGGGTAGCTCAGGAACAAGCTTTGTCAGATTACATATGTTGTGCCTGTCTGTACCACTTCTGACCCCGCTGATCGCATGAAATAGGCCATCTGGTTTGCACTTTAAGTGCTTTACAGTATTACTATTAATACCCATCGCATGCGTATAGGCTTCATATCTGGCTGCAAAAAGCCTCATTTTCATATTCCACGCATGACGCACAATGTTTGGAGTATGTGTGAACTTAATGGGAATTCAATCTGGGCAGGCTTGTTAATGTTGGGATACTTTTGGGTGGACAGCTATCCCACCAGCAGGCAACACTTGATGGTGTTGCTGACAGAGATACACCATGTGAGTGTTTTATTGTACAAACGAAAGAGAGACTTAAGTAGAAATAGCATGAGGGAGAGAGAGAGAGTTGTGCATCGATGAGGGCAAAGACTGAGATTTCATAAACTGGCTGACCCCCCAAAAAACCAGAGAATACAGGCAATAAGACGTGAGGCCTCGGCAGGAGGAATGGTAGAACTGATCCGAACACTCAGTGTGTCTTAAAGTTAACGTGTGCCGCAAGCATTTTATCCAAACGTGAGTTTTAGGCTAACGATATTTCTGTAAGTTATGCTAAAACATTTTGACTGTATGCAGCTTGTGCTATAGTGGAATGTGGATAAATCAGTGCCTTCGCAGAACATTAGCTTGCTTACAGCTAACTTCATCGTTCATCATCGTTTTAGTCATCAGCTGCTCCCCCTGGTGGACCTATGGTGCTAAAATCATCCTTTGACATGCTGGAATCTGATGTTCTTAGCTAGCTACAGACATTTTGTTAGCGTTTCACCCCTTTTGTTGCTTATTGTGTGGCCGACTTCATACATCATTGTATCCTCTACTCTCCCTGTGTGAAAATAACTACTATGAAAAACATAGGTTTCTGTGAGTGTGCGTGTTGAGAAAAATGATGTTAATGGTGTAGGTTTCCTGCTGCACTCGATATTTGTACCCTGTGTGTGCGTGTTTCTTCTTGGGGCACCAAAGGTTAGTGTTCAGTTTCTGCTACCAGGCGGAAACCTGTGTGTGTGCTGCACACAAATCATTGTCCACCATTGAATAAAAGCTCTGTGGCTGTAGAGGGAATCAAGTTGCTACATGTGCAGCAGCAGCTGAAAGAATGCCCTGAACTGTCAATGACTCAGAATCAGGCGGCAACGCCGAAGTGTCTTAAAACTTCTTTTCTCATTTTTTCTACTCTCCAGCAGGGGGCGACTCCTCCGGTTGCAAAAAGAAGTCCGATTGTATTGAAGTCTATGAGAAAATGACCCTACTTCTCTCTTGATTCATTCCCTCAGTAACACAACGCAACACAATTTCAACAGAATGACATCATACATAACGGTGTCACTTTTGAGTCGGTCTATTTCCAGGCAGGCTAGGTAGTCGTAGTGAAATGTATCCACTGAATGACAGGAAAAGCCTGCCGCTCATCACATGGCAGCTGGTCATGGTGTCACCTGTCGGTCTGCGCATTTGTGTGTGTTTTTTTGAAATGCAAAACGACACTAAGAACCTTTCTTTCACTCTCTCGTCTGTAGTTGCAGCAGCAGAGCCGCTGGTCCGAGGCCTGAGGAAACTCCCCGAAGACATCGACTGGTCGTACACAGGTGTGTAGCAGCCGTTTGCTGCTTTTCTGATTTCCATTTGCAATTTTAGAAGATATTCAACTGACGTGTGGGTGGTGACATGGGTAGTGTGCCACCTGGATAACAAGGATTTGACAGGAAGTGGATTGTTTTGGGTGCGCATGAGCATTTGTTAAAAGGTGGTAACAGGCAAATTATTTATACTAAAGTTATAATACAATTTACAGCTTGTATCTGTAAGCACTAGTGTAAGTGGTGTTAGCATCTTAATATTTAAGTCATCTGTTACCGGGGCATCTTACATGTACTGTACTTAGTGACCAACGGTGTAAATCAGCCAATCAGTTATGTCATTATTAAAATGACATAACATTTCCTCCATACGTATCTATATATCATACATCAATAATGAAACTAATATAGGAATAATGAAACATAAGCATAAGAGCAACACGGTGCGGTACACTTGCAAACACACAGGAACTAATTGAAAACTCCATCAACTCAATCAACCATCAATTTCCAGTTTCAATTGGAAAGTCCCAAAGATCAAGTTTCCCTCTGCTTACTTTTCAAAATATACAGACATTTCCTTAAAGAGACAACAGGGGACAGTTCCATCATACTGGTAAATATCACACGATTCAAAGGAATTATCTGTTAACGTCTCCCGTGAGAGCCTTGATCTGCCCGGACCATATGGTTAGATGGCATCAGCTAACTCAGCGCGAAGCCCCCGCCGTGCTAAGCTGTGGTCCAACAGAAACAAAGAGTGGCCACAGACGGACCACAATGATCCCAGAGGGGGAGATTAGCTATTAATGGTCGGTGGGGGAATTAGGAAGAACGATCAGGCTCAACAGGTCATCAGTGGGCTGAATGCAGAGCTATTGAACTTATTAACCTGCCCCCCAAATGGATTGCTGGTGATAATCGACACAGGTCGTTTGAAGCTCATAATACTGTATGATACGGGCAATGTCTAAGTCGCAGAGCCAGCATTCGCTCAAGGATTTAAAAACCATGACAAAACCTGATTCAGGACAATGACTGCAGTGCTTGCAACATTTTCGACATGGATGTTTGGTTTATGTGCGGTGAAATTATGAGGCTTTAATGGTAGATGAATCGTCATCATACAGATCACTTGTATTTATGTAAGTGAAAACTACGAGTCAAAATAAATACCATAGCACACACTTTGTCAGCTGTTTGTTGCCATAGAATGTATATAAGAAGCGGACGTAGTCACCGTGACATCACCCATGACCGTCATTTTGAAGCCTCGAGTTCGGCATTTTGGCCTTCGCCATCGTGATTGGTGGCCCTCACCATCAAGCGCCCAGGAAGATTGTCGACTTTTGAAACAAATTTTACACAGTGGCCCCAAAAATACTTTTTATTCCATCGACTTACATTGGGAAATAGACGTCTGTAACTCAGCGGACCATTTATTTTTGAGGTAAATCAACTTCCCGGTACAAACACATGATTAGCCCTCATGAAAACAATTAGGTCCTAAGATCTGTGAAATGCATTAATAGCCAAATCCAGAGTTATTTTCCTTCTTCTGTTCATGAGAATTTGCCTGAAAACAAGACGAGACCGCATCTATAGTCACCATCTAGTGTTCTTTGCAACCAGAAGTGACACAACAGAGTGGAGCTAAGTACGACAGAATGCTGAATAAGACATTTTCAGCCGGGCGAAATTTTACAATTAAATTTCATGAACTGAAAACACACTATGAAAGGGTTAAAGTTGTCAGACGAAAACACGGACAACACCCAGACCGGACAACGGCGTAGTAAGGACCTGCCAATCACATTAAGCCCGCTCTACAGCATACCCTGATATATGGTCTGTTTGACTGTAAATGGACCATAATGTACTAAATGAACATCATGTTGTATTGAAGAAGACTTGAAACTAGAGATTGAGACCATAAACTCATGTTTACAATGTTTACTGAGGTAATAAATCAAGAGAGAAGTAGAGTCATTTTCTCATAGACTTCTATACAAGGACATTAGAAAGAATGCAAGTTTAAAGCACTTGTGCATTGGCTTCACTTTTCAGACCCAGAGGTTGCTGCCTGTTCAAACACTTCAACGCTCTTTGTTGATAAAATGGATAATGAAACCCCAAACAGAATCAAATCATTGCAACATAACCGATTTGTTGAACTACAACGAAAGCATCTGCATTAACTTATGAATTGCGTTTAATATGAAACCTGGCCCTGAGCCATGTTTTAGGCACACACCAGTACAGCCATAAGGTTTTATTTGTCCAGCTTGTTTCTACTCGTATTTGTCAAACGAGCATGAAATCAATAGATGCACATGTATTTTCATCTTGCAGATTGTTCCCTCTGTCAAATCTTGACAATCAATTCCCAGGCAGGAACGTACACCCGGCCTGACAAAGTGTAATAGGTTTTTCTTTGTGTGATACACTGAAATGATCAGTGTGGTGAAAAAGCCTGTTGGCAATGGAAAAGAAGCGGAGACGCCCCCCTTTCTTTCCCCTCCTTGCTTCCCTTACTTCCATTTGTATTCCTACTTTTTGTCTCTTGACCCGTCTTTCTTCCTCTGATTCTTTCTTTCCTGCTCTACACTTATCGTTTCCCTCTCCGTTGGGTTTTGAAGTTCATCATCACAACTGAAGGCGACTCGGTGGCAGTTCATTTGGATCCACTGTAACCGGAGCCGTGTGTGTGCACACGTGTGCGTGCACAACCTTGTTTTTCTGACCGGCTCTGTTTCTTGCCTTGTGCTGTGCACTGAGTTGTGAGTAAAATCATTAACATGTGAAAGGAACACACTTCATTGTGAGGCACTGTGCACAGCTTTTTAGTTGGGTCAGAAGTAGGAGGAGGAGGAGGAGGAGGAGGAGGGGGGCAAATGGAAATAAAAGAAAAAGGTGGGCAGGAGAGTGAGAGAGTGAGTGAAGGAGGGTTGAAGAGAAAGAAGAACTCAGCTGAAAGGAAGAGAGAGGCAGAGGAGGGACATTTTTCATTTTTCATCAATCAAACCATGGTTGTTTGGTTTGATTCTTATCCAAAAAGTCTACATACATAGGTTTTTTGCTTAGTGAGGACTTACCAGTCCAGCCTTTTGTTTTTTACCACAACAAGCCAGTCTGTTCTGTGTTCTGTCATCCACGCACGGTTAATTAAGAAATATTAGTTTTTCAAATTAGAGAATAGATTTGTACGAGGATTCAGTAACAAACACAAGATATAAAGTCAACTTGTGTGAAGCTATTAAAGAAAAGTGATTCAAGTTCAAAACGATGATCTTTAGCAATCGAGTTACTTGAGGTTCCAGAGGAATCATTTCAACCCTAATCCAAGTCCGACATTTACGCTCTTTTTGGTTCTGTTTTGGTTCTCCACCAGCTCCTGAGGGAAATGCTAAATGCTCCACTATGTTCACCAGCTAGTTGCTAACTTCTATCTGTTTAGCGCTGGGCAGGTATAGCGTACTGTTGGTTCATCTTTTTGTTGCTGAAAACAGCTGCCTGATGTAATACAAGTTGAACGTGAACCACATCGGTAAAGTTGCTCTCTGTAAAACCAAAGCAAGGGGCTGAAAGACACTAAAGTGCTCTGTATAGCTTAGAGGAACTGCACAGTTCTGTGGAAATCTTTCATGGGTCCGTCACTGCAAGAGACCCTTTTCCTTTCATCCTTTGTTAATAAAAATATATATATTAAAGCAGCTTTAAAAAAGACTATATTTATTTGATTAAGTTTGGATTTGATGCAGATTTAAATGATATAAATCTCATCAGTCTGTGGCAGCTTGGTTTCTTCATTTTTTTTAAGCCCTTGATAGCTTTAAAATATATTTATACGTATTAACGTTAAACATGCAGCTACACTGTGTATGTTTGTGCACAACAGCATCCTCCTCCATGTTGTTCTCGCCATTCCTCTATGCTTTGTCTCCAAGGGGTCCCTGAGATCCTCCTGCCTGGAGGACACCCCCCAGGGCCCCATCTGTTATGTGTGCGTTTGTGTGCAAGTGGGTGTTTGGGTGAAATTGTGCGCTCTGATAAACCAGAGTTTCTACTTCCAGGGAAATGCAATGGGATGCAATACATTTTTCAAAAGTTACTGTAAAAAAACAAGACCATGAGTTCCAATAGAAATATTATAGTGACGATACTATACTTGTTTTTGAAACATTATATTTCTTTGTAAACTATATCAGAACAGCTGAAATATCATGTTATACTGTGCATAGAAGATGGACCTTAATTGTTTCCTATTGTTAGAGCAGCAATGACAAACGGAATATGAAAGAATCATGATGCTGGATTCATTAATAATTCATTAAGCTTGACCTTTTTTCCTCCATCTCTGTATCGGTGTCTCTGCCCAGCATGACTCCTACAAAATGGCATTCCCCTCCAGCTAAACTGCATTCTCAGTTATGTTTAGAGGGAAACATATTCTCTCCTGGATTACGGTCGCAGTTTTAAACACGTGATAACGCTGCAAATTGAAACATAGCAAAAATAAACTACTTGGTTAGGTTAAGAAAAACATCACGATTTGGCTCAAAATAAGAACGGTTGTTACGTTGTTTAAGTTCAGGATGTAAATGAAAATAAGTTAACGTATACTTTCAATTAGACTCGAGACACAAACAGCGGCCCCCCATGGTTGAAATTTACACAGACTATGATTGGAAACGCATTTGTGATCCGTCAAAAACAAACGAGGAAAAACGTTTCCATCTCAACTTAATTGACAATGCAGTTTTGTTGGTTGTAAATGTAATTTTTAGGAGACCAAGCTGCTCTGCCTTCCTCTCCCTCTCTGTGTGTGTCTCCTCTCTTCCTGATCCAACTAAGTCTTACCCAGGGGCGATGCAGGCTTCAATACTCCCCTGTTGCTTTATCTGGGGAACACACACGCACACACACACACACACACACACACACACATAGATTTCTAAAATGAAGACTTCCTGTCCACATAAGTTCATAGCATTCTGTTCTAAAACCAT